CGGGGAGACATCTAATTACAATTTATCATTAGTCCGTAATGCACAAAGGGGTAAAAAACAAGGGCTGCGGAGGGAGTCGGGCCAGGAAGGAAGGGGTTGAAAGAAGCGGATTCCGCGGAGGGCGCTCAAAGGCGGACGGGAGTAATCAATTTCCCGGGTTCGAAGACAAGAAGCTTTAACCCACCGTCCCTTATTCCTACACCCGGGTCCAGCGGTCCCTGCTGGTCCTGGAGAGGATTTTGCTGGGTCCTGGCCATCCGGCGACCCGACCACCCCCTTTTTCCCCTATCCATTTTAACCCCTTCGTATCGGCAACGCGTTACTATCTCGTGTCGCGCAATTTCGCTCCTGCATCAGGTGATGGATGAATGTCCTCTCGCTCCGAAGGGCCATTGTGTCGATATCCGCGGATGAACGGCCCTCGAGAGCTTTTGTCCTTCCTTCGAGACTTCCCCTGACCGAAGAAGCTTCTTAGGCGGTATACACGTTAATAATGGAAAATAAAACAGTATATGGGTGCCCGGTTGGCCATGCCTGTCCTCTGAACATAATTTCATTTGTAATCAATTCTCGGATGTTCGTCGATGATGATGTCTCTTTCCGGCGTCTAGCCAGCTATCGTGAAATTTCCCGAAATTTTCGGTAAATCTCCCCTCATCTAGCCAGAGGCGGGAGCTAGGGTAAATTAGTTTAGTTTATAATTTCCGTGCCGCCATAGCCCCCTCATGAGAATGAATGGGCCCGGTGTTTCGGCGTCAGGCTTCGCCCGGGCGGTAAGCGTCGCGACGCCTCTGATGTATGTTCAGGAGCCAAGTTTCGGGAATTATGTGCCGCGCTTACGCATTTACTACGTTTATTCGAGATAAAGAGAGATAGAGCTTCGATCCGCTTCTTAGGGAACATCGCCCGAACTTCGCGTTCAACAGAACAAGTTTTAATCCAGAGTTATCGCCGCACTCGGTTCGGCGAAAAGGATTTGTGCCCACTCTCTACGACGCTTTTTTCGTATTTTTTTGTTGTTTTACTAAACCCAAGCCAGCTCGGAAGATTTTCTACACCTTCTGTTTCTATACGTAAAGTGTTAGAAACATTCATACACTTTTGGTAGGGAAGGTTGTAATGCAATTATAAGTTTCGTGTCTCAAAAGTGAGTTAGGATGTAGCTCCTGGAGTAAAACACGTTTCTACCTCAATCAACTGATTTTATTCACAAGACGTGATCTTTATTCTACTTTGTAGTCCATCGACCGCAGTCCTCCGGCAAGGAAGTACTCTTCCCCAAAACAGCTGATCTTCATGAAGTACTGTTTCCCAAAACAGCTGATCCTTGCGAAGTACTGTTCCCCAAAACAGCTGATCCTTGCGAAGTACTGCTCCCCAAAACAGCTGATCCTCATGAAGTACTGTTCCCCAAAACAGCTGATCCCCATGAAGTACTGTTCCCCAAAACAGCTGATCCCCATGAAGTACTGTTCCCCAAAACAGCTGATGCTCACGAAGTAATGTTCCCCAAAACAGCTGATGCTCACGAAGTACTGTTCCCCAAAACAGCTGATCCTCGCGAAGTACTGTTCCCCTAAACAGCTGATCCTCACGAAGTACTGATCCCCAAAACAGCTGATCCTCACGAAGTAATGTTCCCCAAAACAGCTGATCATTTCACCACAAGTGCCTCCTAGGGTGACACATGCACGTTCTACCCCAGTCATCACATTTCATTCTCAATCTTCTCCCTTCTACATTGTAGTCAATCGACCACAGTCCTCCAGGAAGGAAGAACTCTTCCCCAAAAGAGCTGATCATTTCACCACATGATCCTCCTGGGGTAAAACGTGCACGTTCGCCCGGGTGTTCAAGAGAATCGTGGATAGTAATCCAAAGTCGCGGCGTCTCATGATCCCATCTCGAATGCTACGATATCCCGAGGGTTCGACACCCCTCGCTCGCCCGGGAGAGCTTAGGGGACAAGTGGATGCAGAACGGGCCGCGTTATCGGGTGCAGTCGGGCGGGCAGCGCATTGTGAACGGGCTTAATCCCTAGGGAGACAGCCCCGATCCAGAGCGAACCCGACTGGCCGCCACAATGGACCTTCGAGAGCGCAAAAGACCGCCGCCGCTGGTGAAGAAACTTTCTTTATTCCCGGCCAGAGTCAAGGGGACTTCCGCTCAAGTTCCTCCGACGCCGGAAACAAAGGAGGACGCCTCGCGCCGGCCGGACTCGCCCCGGTTACCCTCCGACAAATCGCTGCCATTAGTTGCGAGAGTTCCTAACCTAGAAACGGGACTCGTCTTCTAGTAGGGAAACTACTGAGCTCGCAATAGTGGCGGCTGTGGATTCGACAATAGCTGTTAAGGCGATATGAAAGTGGCTTCTGAGAGGTCAATCGTTCCTGAAACTTTTCTCTGAACCGGGTGTATCGAATTCTTTTAAAATTTAAAAAACTTCACTCGGCGTTCATTTACTTTAGAATGAAATATCAATTAGCCTTGCATGTCCGGCGATGAAAATTAATAAATTCTGGAAAACTAAATGACTCTACGTGCAAGTCTTCGCAAAAGAAAATCCCGTGCTCATGTAAACGAGAGTTCATGAGATCTTTTACTTGGCGTTCATTTACTTTACAATGAAATATCAATTAGTCACGTACGTCCGGCGATGGAAATTAATAAATCCTACGAAACTAAACGGCCTTAGGTGCAAGTCTTCGCGAAAGAAAATCCCGTGCTCATGTAAACGAGAGTTCATGAGACTTTTCACTCGGCGTTCATTTACTTTACAATGAAATATCAATTAGTCACGTACGTCCGGCGATGGGAATTAATAAATCCTACGAAACAGTGGCTTTAACGTGATGGCCTTAGGTGCAAGTCTTCCGAAAGAAAATCCCGTGCTCATGTAAACGAGAGTTCATGAGATCTTTTCACTCGGCGTTCATTCGCTGCCATCAGGAGGCGACCTCTCATCAGCAATGCGGTACTAATTCCTTGAGATGGGTACTTCCCGCAGTCTTTGAAAGCTCAGCAGGCTCGGAAAAAAAGCTCGTAGAAGCTCGCACTTAAGATATCCCATATTCCACCCCATTCGGGGAATACACCTCCCCAAAGAAGGTGATCTCACGAGGGTGAGATGTGCACATCTTCGAGAACTTTTTACCGCGTCTGCGGATGCGGAGTTTATTCGAGACGTGAATGGGCCACGAAGTATGTCGTTTTTGCTCCTTAGCCGAGCTTGCCATGAAATGGCCATCATGGAAACGAAGTTTCAACTCCCTGCAGGGCGACAAAACAATCTCGCGTCTCAATTTTGCAAATTTCGAAATGACTCGTCCCACGATAAGGGCAAAACGCGACTCTGCATCTCCGAAACGCAATTTCGTTCCGAAATGCAAATATGTAAGGTCGTGTTTCAGGGTACATGTACTTAGATTCAAATTTCAAGCTGGAAGTTTGTTCTATTCAGGTTCTGAACAAGAACGCGTTCATGTTTATTGCACATGCATCCATTGCAGGCAAGTTCGGAACTAACGTATGATCTCTTTGGCGTTGAAATTTACTTAGATACAGATTTGAAGTAAATAGCGCCGTAATTGAAGTTTGGTCTATTCAGGTATTGAACAGGAACGCATTCATCTTTATTGCACATGCATCAATTGCATGCAACTTCCAAGCTAACGTATGATCTCTTTGGCGTTGAAATTTACACAGATTCAAATTCGAAGCAAATAGCGCTCTAATTGAAGTTCTTTTCAGGTACTGAACAAGAACGCGTTCATGTATATTGTACATCCATCAATTGCATGCAACTTCCAAGCTAACGTATGATCCCTTTAACGTAGACATTTACTCATACTCAAATTTGAGGCAAATAGCGTTGTAATTGAAGTGTATTCCATTCAGGTACTGAACAAGAACACGTTCATCTTTATTGTACATCCATCAATTGCATGCAACATCCGAGCTAACGTATGATCTCTTTGGCATTGAAATGTACTTAGATTCAAATTTGAAGCAAACAGCGCTGTAATTGAAGTTTGTTCTATTCAGGTACTGAACAAGAACGCGTTCATCTTTATTGACATGCATCAATTGCATGCAACTTCCAAGCTAACGTATGATCTCTTTGGCGTTGAAATGTACTTAGATTCAAATTTGAAGCAAACAGCGCTGTAATTGAAGTTTGTTCTATTCAGGTACTGAACAAGAACGCGTTCATCTTTATTGCACATGCATCAATTGCATGCAACTTCGGCGCTAACATATGATCTCTTTGGCGTAGATATTTACAAGTTCGAGGCAGAAGTCCATGTACCTCCTAACTTTGAAACTTGGCGCGAAACTAAGGTATCGGTAAGCCCACCTGGTAAAAAGTTAGCACCGAAGCCCCCTTAAAGTGCAGGTCTATGCTTTGCAGTATTTTATGTGTCCATATTGGTACATGTACTGGAAACCCGCCATTTTCGGGCCGTATGTGAAGATACGACCAAAGCGTCTATGGCCTGCCTATTGGCTAAGAGGGAATCGCGATGGAATGGGCTCCTAAAAGTGATGCATAAAATTCAGGATTTATGGATGGTAAAGAGATAAACAAGGAACATCCACCTGTGTCCTGCCGATTTATGAAGTGTTTCATAAATTTCATGCCGCCCATTTGTTGCACCTCTGGGTAGGACCCTAAGAGCCAAAAATCTGCAACCCTTCCATCTCGAGATTGATTTTTCAAGATTGAACAATCTTGTATTGTCGTTTCGGGATTTTTATGCAAAAGTGGAAGTTTTTAAATAATGAAAAATTTATGAAGTGTTTCATAAATTTCATGCCGCCCTATTTGGCCATTTGTTGTACCTCTGGGTAGGACCCTAAGAGCCAAAAATCTGCAACCCTTCCATCTCGGGATTGATTTTTCAAGATTGAACAATCCCATATTGTCGTTTCGGGATTTTTATGCATAAGTGGAATTTAAAAAAAAATGAAAAATTGGGTTAATCTCCTCGGAACTTTACTCACCCGTGATAGGCGAGAAAGGAGAGCAGAAAGAAGATGCAGGCCAGGACGTCCGCTCTTCCAACTATTCCAGTCACCTGAAATTAGAATAAATAATATTTCATATCATCTATAATTTCATTGTTGCGGAATATTAAACAATAGTTAAACAAGGTGAAGCTGTAATAGCTTTAAAGAATTAAACTTTATATATAAATAAAATCATGCAGTGAAAACTGTTAGAAATATTGTTTGATGTCATGTCATGGTACATAAAGAGTGGATAATATGAGATAGGAAATTATGACTCAAGATAAAATGAATATAAAATAAAAAGAGAAGGAGATTGATTGAATCCGACGTGATAAATGATTTACGAAATATTTTATCGGGGGCCCTTAACATAATACAATTGTGTTATTACATGGTACATAAAGAGTGAATAATACGAAATAGGAAATTACAACTCAAGACAAATTGAATGCAAGATAAAAAGATAAGAAGAAGGGATGAATTCCATCTGATAAATGGTTTAAGAAATGTTTTATCGGCGATAGTTTAACGCAATACAGTTAGATTAATGCGTTGCACGTAGTCAATTAAAGTGCACCGAGGGGCGGTAATGAGGCAGTACATCGTGGAAACTGGAGCATAATTAGTCTACAGCTGGTTTCGCGTTGCCGATATATCGAGTACTCGATCCGAAAGCCTAACATGATCGAACGAGGAGGGAAGTTTCCGGAGCACCGACGAGTCCTAAGACCACTTCCGGCCAAGTCCGGCCATGTACAAGTAATCGTCGCCGATCGACGGCCATTAATTAGTTTCAAGCTGTAAAACGAGCCCACCTGGGGTTTAACGCGTTCCAACTTTTGCCGGAAAAGTTCTAATGGCAAGTTCGTGCGTGGAACCCTTTAAATACCTTCGCGGTGTCAGGCGGGGCCATAAACTTCAAGGTACAGGGCGTTTCAGAACGGGTGTTGACTAGGATACAACATCATATGTACATATGTGTGATTTCCAATTTTTACGCAATTTGCAAGAAAATTAATTTCTTGTCTTCCATACCATGCGTTATGCGATGATGACAGGTTTATACATACACCGGGAGACATCAATGCCCTCCCATCCTGCACAGGCGATGCCGCATCTGCAGGGGAGGCATCATGTCCGCCATTGTACGATATTCGTTAAATACGTTGAAAATATAATAAATTTTCTGCTACTAGGGTAGTTTTATCCCGAAATGGTGGATTTAGGATTCCGGGGAACAGTTTCACCAAGTGCGGCATTCTCGCGGAGGTCGATACTTTCCCTCGGCTGGCTATCCAGGAACAGTGGCTTCATTCATGGCCAATATACTCGGAACGACGACATCGTAACCACGAGACAGCGGGTGCTATCCTGTCAACCAGCTAGGCAGAATCCCTTTGTTAGATACAGTTGGTGCCGCACCACGCCAGCAAATGGACACAATTTAAAAAATGGGGGATATGAACTGTGGGCCGCCACATTTTCGCCGAATGGAACAGAACGATTTAAAAAGTGGTTAAACAGTTTAGGACAACCTGACAATCATAGGCACATGTCAAAATCCTTCCTTGTTTTATAATTAGGAATCATAGGGATGCGAAATTCCCACCTGAGGGGTTAATAGTTCATGAAACTCTGAACTGGGTTCACCAAGTCGTTTTAAGATTTACAACGTGAATATAGAGGCTATAAGGAAGGTCCCGACACTAGATATTTCATCTTCTATAACTAATTTTAAATGTATCTATGAACAGGTTGTGAGAAAATGAAATTCCATGAGTTTCAGGACCTCCCTTATACCCTCCATGTTTACAGTGTAAAGTTTGAAACAATTCCCTGGACCCAGTTCGGAGAATAGTTTCATGAACGAGATTTTATTGACGCCATTTTCCCATCGCCTTAATCACAGGGTACAGGTTATGTTGGTATTTGTCGTTAATGTGTGTAAGTCCAATGTGGGACCAAGCTCGGCATCCATTTTCAGGTTATGTTCAAGGTAAAGAAGACGACGTTGTCTTGCCGCGCGTCGAGACAGGGATACAGCTAAAAAAGAAATTGAGTCCGGGCGCTAAAACAGAAATGAAAGAAAGGCGTCCATGTATATTCCTTGCAATATGGACGCCCAGCAGACTGTAGCTGCTGTTCGAGGTGCCTTCATCTTGGAGGCGTCTGTTCGGGGTGTGTAAGGGTTAACTCAGAGCGCTATGGACAAGGGAGTGTGCCCAGAGTGTGGTTCCCCACGCAATTTCAGAGCCCCAGGCATCCGGGAATGGCGGACTTCTTCCACGAGGAAAATATACCAACACGACAATCTCGTAAGCGCGAAACAGGAAGTTCTTGCACCTTTGATCAGGGTAGCAACCCTTTGATGGGGTCTGGTACCGCACCACGTCCCAGGACCACTACAAGTGTCGATGGTGAGACATAAAACGCGACTGCAGCTCGGATTCTATGAACATTTAAAGGGTCCAATCTCGATGGAATGAAATTTTCAGCGGAATTGAGGTGGACCCGTCGCTTGCTATGCCACGGCAAAGAGTGGATGTGCAAGAAACGGCGTGAAACTGTGTAACGAAACGCATCGTAATACGTTCAGCGAAAAACCACACAACGTCTGTATTGACACAACAACCTGGATCAGCAAAAACACTTTCGTCGCGGATTGGCGTGATCCTGTGGCTGAGACTATTTTTGATGCCACAGCAAGCTCAATCTCTGTGAAAAGAGAGGTGAAGCTTCTCCCAAGAGGGAATCTATTTCCAGGGAATAAAGCTGTCTGAATTTGATACTATCCAAAGAAGCATTCACTCGGAGTAGCATCTCCCTGCGGGGATTGGTGCTTTCAACCCCGTGGGAGCATAGACAGGCTAAGGATTTCCGTCGCAAGTAATGTACACCAGGATGACTAGGTTGCAACCACGCGTACCAAGGTCCAAACCAGTCGGTCTGCAATGCTGGTTTTGTCTAGGGTTTATACTAAGCTCGGGATTAACTAAACGAGACCATCACGAATCAAGAGATGTATAACAACCGGGTAATCAGGCCACCCAACAAATCATCACGCCAAGGACACTTAGAAATGCAGGACCCACGTAAGGCACTAATCTAGGGCAACACCGGACTTGGCAATGTTCCTGAAGTGTCCTCCATCTAGGAATCGATCTCTGGGCCTCGCGGGCAGTAGATGGGTCTCTTTTTCATCTCGCACCCCACACCAATAGGAAACGACGTCGTAACCACGAAACGGCAGGCTTCTACCACGCCGACCTGGTGGTAGCTCTTTGACGGGAGGGTTGGAACCCGAGGTTAACACTTCTCGTGGGTGCGCCTCGGGCAAGCATCTCTTTACGTTCCAGCGGAATCATACTCTTTAATATTACAGAAGGGGGTTCATTAAACCCGCCCCTGAGGTACGCATGAGCAATACACCTGTTACCGTCTTGCACTGCGATGGCTGGGCTTTACGACGTGGTATGACGTCGTTAATCCCGCTGTTTCAATGTCAGTTACTACGGGAAGGTAACAATGACGGGATACGAGGATCCCAGAGAGCTCCGCTTCCGGTGATCTTTAATGTCTCTAAGGGATTTATTGAAGCGGTGCTTCTCACCTCTGCTACCAGGCTGTTAATAATGAATCTTCATTGGAGGTCGCTGGCTTTTCTTCCAGGGACGTGAAGAGCAATTTCAGATATTGCTGGGACCTTTACATGTTATACGATTCGACAATGTCGGCGTAGATCGTCCTCGACTGAGTTGGATGTAGGAAACGTCATTCATGATGCATTGCAATGAAACCGTAAAAGGTGTGCGCATCGAAACTGCAATGAGAAGTATAGGAGTCAGGATAGGAATGCATCGGATGAGTGGATGTTGGACGAATTCATACGTTTCATTCTCTATTCTGCATTAGTTACTTAGATCTTGCTCCCATCAGCAGATTGGTTAAAGTGCGAGAACAAGAGGGGAAATAGGAAGGAAGTTTGACAAGTACGTCCTTCAAAGTAGCGTAATCTTCGTCATGGATGCTGTTCATCTGAGGACACTTTGACGTCTACTGATGCTCCTCCAAGTTTGAGCAGTACCCAAAATGGGAAATGGCGGGGCTGGCAAGTCAGCCACGTTCCTTCAAATTTTACGGTCGTTTGTTCCAAAAGAACGAGCTGCTATTCCAAGCCCGCGTTAAACGTAACCACTGCTTTTACACTCACCCTCGTGGCATTAAACTCAAAGCGAATCTCTTTTCTTGTAGCTTGGCGTTTATCGAGGATTGTAACGATGGTTAAAATGGCGCTTTCAATTCCTGCCCGACGCCAAAGAGGTACAACGAGACGTGGCCAAAATATCTGACGGGGATTGACCCATTTTCCCTGACACTTTTAACAACGTACATGAAGAATTTACGGTAGAGATTGATACCCAATGACGAAAATTAAAAATATCTACGACTGTACGGATTGTTATCTGTAAAAGTGTTGGGGTAGGTCCATGTCCAGTAATAGTTTATCACGTCCCATAAATGCCACTCCTATGTTGTTGCTATCAGTATGTTATGTAGTCGTTACTTTTTATGCGAGACAGTTCCATCAACATTATGATTCGGGTGTAATGTCCCAGCGGTCCATAACATCAGTTACAATGCTGTACAAGTGATGTTTAAAGTACATTACATCAAATGTGTGTCCAACATGAACTGTAAACTAGGGATGATTCAAGCCCCATTCAGTAAAGTTGCCATTATTCGTATGCACTTTCTTTAAAATTAAACATATTTATTTATGAGCCGGTTACAGCAACTATGACTAGTGTACTGTTTACAGATTCACTGTCAGTGGTGTTAGTTGATTTTTGTTAACTATCTCTTGGTGGGATGAAGATTGAGTTCATTTGTCATTACGTTGATCGTGGATTAACTAGTTTGGAATAGGGGACTTAATTGATGTTATTAAGATTGTTGATGCAACTTAGTACAGGTATCCGTCAATACTGATCCAATTTCCAAATGAATTGTTCTAAGTGCAGCTCCCGATGAACTTTTTCCAAGTGCACGTCACGACTACCATGTG